TTGCTGCCCCCAATACTGCCCTTGATTACTTGGTGCCCTAAATGGCCCCTTGCTATGCGTGGGTCTTACATTGTCTTTGAGAATAGAGAAGTTCTTGAATTATCACCCCTGCCATTTCAACCCCCAAATCCTCATTTCAATTTCACTTCTCCTTTTGGAGTGTTGGACCCATGATTCCTCATTTTTCACCACTCTGCTTGCTTGCCCTCCCCTCCCCTCCCCTCCCCTCCCACATTTGCAACCTTGTACTAAGTTTGGCATTCTATGTCACTGTTAGCAGCCAAGCTTAAAATGAAGTTTGATATGGTCTTAAAATCATCGAAAGTATTTTCATTAAACTCATTTTAGTAGTTTGGGTTCAGGAGTTTATCTTGTTTGGTTTAGCTGAGTTTGACATTTGTTGCTCATGCTAGTGTCAGCAAGCTGCCAAGTGTTTTTTTTCTGTTTCCCTTTCATGTGCATTCCTTCCCTTGCGCTTAATTGCCTCGCTGCAGCAACGCGTATCTTTCAAGGCCACTGGAGGAGTTGCTGGAGAAATTGCTTTGGCTTTTCCTGGGATGAGTCGTAGGAAGTTTTACCTGTTATGTTTATTGTAGCCATTTGTTCTCATGCCTAATGCCTGCGCGCGGGAACCCCAGTAATTGCGTCTTGCTGATTTGAATGTACTATAACCTGTCATGCACCTAGATTACCCGCCATTCCTAACAGTGTCCCTGTCTACGCATCTATAGCTTCAATAAAAGTAAAACCTTCTAAGAAGTGTGTGCTTCATTGTTGCTGTGGGTCCTGACAGCTAGCCCGGAGCTATGTTGGGGCATCTTGGAGCCATGCCCCCTTAATTACACACCATGCCCAACAAAACACTTTCTTTAAGCCCATAATAATGTTTGTAAAAGTTTAAATGTAGCCGCGCTGCTGCACCTGAGCCTGCCTTCTCATCCAGGCTCCAGCCGGCCAGTGGAAGAGGGGAGGGAGGAGAGAGAAGTGAGGCACCCCTTGCCTGTCTGGGTTCCCTGCAGGTGAGGGACCATGGTCGGGGCTTCTTCACCTCTTCTTTGCAGCACCTGGGGGGAGGGCATGCTCACGTGCCAGGCCAGGCCAGGCTTTGTTGTGGTTGTTTTTAGGGCAAGTATCATGCAATCCTTCCTCCTGGGGCCTTTCTGTGGGTGAGGCCAAATGCACGAATGCTTCCCTGGTGGGGGTCCCTTCTCTCCACCAGCCAGCACAAAGGGAACCAGTTTGGCGGCACCGGAGAGAGGCCTGGCACTGAGCTCACACTACCCACCTGGGAAAGCTGCCTGCAAGGCAAGTGGGTGGCTGGGCCGAGGATGCAGCAGCCTCTCACCTCAGCAGCCCACCCACCCACTGGTGCCCCTCAAGGGCCTGGAAACATTGAGGGAGGAGGAGGAGCTGTTGGGCATGCACATGGGGGAAGGAGGAGACTGACAGGTGGGTGAGCCAGACGTAGTTAGATTAACTTTATTTTAATCAACTTTGGCTTGGTTAACTGCCCCCTAAAAAAAATTAATGTCCCCTGAAGAAAAAAAATCCTGGCTATGGACCTGTGCTCATGGCATCAAATCTGTGTTGGGAGAAATTCACAGACAGAGTGTGGTGTAACAGGGTGGGCTAACATGTAGTCTAGTATGAATTGCTAAATCCTGGCTCTCCGCTTCATCTACAGTAGCCCTTAATCCAAGCATCATTCTGATTCATAGATTTTCTCTTCAGGCTATTTTCTTTCCTACAAATAGGCTTCATGTCCAGTTAGTTTCCATGTTTGTTGGACATTTATAACATGTTGCTTTTTTTCAAACAGTGCACACATTTTAAGAGGTATCATTTGCTTTGTACTACATTGTTTTCAAATTTATACAGTAAGTCACAACATAATATATTTATTTGATGTATTTATCTACCACCTTTTTGCCATTGCATGCAAGGTGGTTTACAACTGGAAATAACTGATATAATACAGTGCTAAGAGGAAAAGGGAAGACAAAGGCAAATGCAGATGTTCATTGTTAGATAACTTACATAACTGTTCCATAATGACTTTGTGGAATGCCCTCTGAAGGACAGACTTTTGGGAGGGGGCAGAGCTAAATGGAATTTGGTCCCAGGCACACTGTCTCATCTCATGCCCTGTTGCAGCAAGATGGAATGGAATCATTGCTGCAACTGGCCCGGGATCCTCCTCTGACTGGCAAGTGTACCTGGGAGCATCATTTCCAATGCTAAGCGTGTATTCTGTCACTGAGTTATGAATGAATGTAGCAGACATCTGGTTGAATAAAAACTCTTTTGTAAAACTGACCCATGATATCTTGTTCTTTATTATAGATCTGTTGAAAAGCAAAGAGGAGAAGTTGCATCTGAATTTGTGAATCCTTTTCATGTCACAGAAGACCTAAATAAGGAACAGCAGGTTGCCTTCCTCTTAAAGGAGTTGGACATTCTAAAAGCAAATAATAAAAAGGTACAATAAAGGTATTCAGCTTTACTTGCTGATGCAGCTATTATATTATATATTATTTGTTAATTGTAAGAATTATAGGTTTGCCTTGACCTTTTAATCACTGGCGTCACTATTTCTACAAAAATATGAAGGCATATAGATTTTTGTCTCGTTTGCAGAACCTTAGAATATTTGGAAAAGTTGAACCTGATATGGTTTAATTAAATATTCCAAATAACTTAAGTAAGTTTGGAGGGAAGAAAGAGCCCCATATAACAATGAACACTCTCTAATTTTCACTGATGAAGAGATCCATTGTTATTCACAGATTTTTGCATATTAGCAATATTAATTCCACTCCTGAAAGCACTCAGTATGTGTAAACTCTTTGAAGAAAATAGATTGGATAATGCATCCCCAAAGTATGATTGTTACAACAAAAATCTAGTATCTTCTTCATGGTCTCTGTGCTTCACACCTCTGGGATATAGTGCACCTGCGCCGACCCCGATCAGTATAATGGAAAGCAAAAGGGATTTTCATGCCTGCTCCCCAGTCACATGCTGGGCTCCATTGCACATGACTAGGGGAGGAGCACAACGATCCCGCCAGTTCTCTTTTGACTGTCGCGCTGATAGGATCTTCTCCACCTTGGTCGGTAGCAATTTTGGCCTTTAGGCCCCTTTTCTCATTTTTGTGGTTAGTTAGGAAAGTAGTTTATAGTTAGTTAGTGTTTCTTTGGATTTATCTCTGCTCCGGCGGAGATCTTTTCCCCTCCCTCCGGCCTATGGCCAAATGGTGGGGTTTGTTTTGACGGTGCTGGAAGTGTGATAGCAAAATCGCACCCCCTGACGGACACTCACTTTGCCTTTTATGCCTGGGGGAATTGCACCGAGTGGACTTTTGTGCCCACTGTTTCAAGTTCTCCAAGCAGACAAGGAAGAATCGGGCAGCTAGACTCTGAGTCGCGCTGTTGGAACTCACTCTCTCTCCAATGGCATCATTGCAGGACTCTTCTGGCCATGCCTTCATGTAGACGCCTGCATCAGAGTCGACGGCCACTCTATCTTCGACATCAGCTCAAGTCAATGCTGACTGATTGGTGCTGAAACGCTCGATCCCGGCATCGCAGTCCGAAGCCTATACGCCTTCAAAAAAAAACATGAGGGCAAGGACAATCGACCTATCAAGCATAAGAAGCACAAGAAAGGCTCTCTTGACAAAACTCTGTCGACTCCTCATGGAGCTGAGGTAGCAACATCATCCAGAGCTGCTTCGTTGGATTTACTTGGCTGTGGGCAGTTACAAGGTGAATCTAAATTGCCTTCGCTTTGCCTTACCCAGTCCACTGATTCCGATCAGGACATTGACTTGACCCAGGTTCCTCGCTGCCCCAGTGTCGAGAGCCTGCATCTAGAGCAAGGGGCAAATGCTGTTCCCCCTCCGCCGCTGTTCAGCCCCAATGATCAGGATCGACCTACAGGATTCTTCCAGTTCCCTCCCGCCTGGGACCAGCACCAGTGACAGTACTTGTATGGGGCTTATCCCTTCACGGGAGTGATGCCGTGGCTTCCCCCGTGCCCTCCTTTGGACTGGTACCACCACTTTTCTTCCTCACGGCTCTCTTGGTATTGAGACCCTTCCCCAGCACCGGAGTTTATTGAACCTCGCCCATCACAACAGAGCGCTAAGCATCCCACTCCACGGGCATCAACATCGAAAAAACTCAAGGAACCGTCGGAGCCGGTGCTGTCGACACCGATCCTCCAAATGTCGTTTTCTGAACCTTCGGACTGTTCCAGTTCCTCCAATTCCTCTCAGTCAGGTTTGGAGAGTCTGCACCCCCCAAATGAGCCTTCCCCTCCACAGCAAGTGGAAGACGATCTTCCAATTTCTCCATCGGAGGACGTTAAGTCTTATGGGGACTTCATTAAGCGAATGGCCAGCAGCCTAGCCTTGCCTACAGTTCAACCACCACTGGTAGTTACGGACTTGGTTTTCAATATTGTCCAGATGGACACCTCGACGGCGGTCGCCCTCCCCATGACTTCGGTCTTGCTCCAGACCACCAAAGCTCCCTGGGCTCATCCTTCGTCCATCCCTATTTCCAGCAAATGGATGGAGCATATGTACAAAGTGCAAGAGATGGGATCAGAGTTCCTTTTCATCCACCTGAAACCGAATTCCATTGTGGTGACTTCTTCTGCTAAAGGCAAACGCAGCCATTCTCAACCCTATACTCTCTACACTGCTGAGTACTTTTACCACCAATTTCTAGACACCAATCCTACCTAAACCAATTTTGATTTCTACCTGGCCTCAAAAACCCAAATTTTGATAAGTGGAGGGTGGCCAAAATCACCACACTTCAGGATCTTACACCAAAAACTGCCCTAGAAGCTAAAATAACACAGGAAATCCCATGGCTACAATACTTCCAAATATCCGATATGTGCTCCCACACCAAACTCCATTCAATAATGAAACAACCCCTCATAGCTTTAGAATCCATAATCTCTATTGCGAGTATATCACAAAAGGGGTTAATCTCCAAATTATACAAAGTAATGACCTCTATGGACAGCAAGACACTCCTATCCTACCAAGCTTTGTGGCTTAAGGAATGTAATATCAATCTATCAGCTGCAGAATGGAACAAAATATGGTCGATGGTGACATTGGACCTCAAGGATGCTTATTTCCATGTCTCCATTCACCCTTCCCACTGTATGGTCCTCCATTTTGCGGTAGGAAACAGACATTTGCAGTACAAAGCCCTCCCTTTTGGGCTATCCACAGCCCCAAGGGTTTTCACGAGGTGATGGTTGTTATCGTAGCATACCTCTGTTTGAAGGGCATTCAAATTTTTCCATACATCGACGATTGGTTGCTGGTAGCGGACTCCAAGACATCCCTACTCAACCACATCGAACTGACCTTGACCACCCCAGAATCAAGGTAAACCTTAAAAAGTCAATGCTCCTCCCCGCCATGCGGGTGCAATTTATAGGAATTTGTCTCCATGTGGTTTCCCATTTTAGAATGTCTGACAAAACAGAATAACATTCCTAAGGTGATGGATGATCTATGGTTGTGGTAGTTAGTTCACCATGACACTATACGTACTTGAATGATACTCTTACTATACATAACATAATTAACACACTTTTCCTAAAGAAATATGCCAAATGTCAATTATCTAGATTGCAGTATTTCCTCTATTTACCTTGTATTTGTGGATAGTCCACAGCAAATAGTTATTAGTTCACGAATCATTATGTATTTTCCTACACACTTAAAATTCTCTTGGCGGTAGCGCCGTTCCACCCACCCACTTCTACACTGACGTTGACAACAGACGGATCCCTGTGGGGCTGGGATGCACATCTCAAGGGGCTTTGTGTCGGAGCTCAATGGGAGTCCCATGTAGCCCAACATCACATCAATTTCCTGGAGTTGCTGGCTGTGCAGTACGCATTCAGATCTTTCCACCACCTGGTGGCCCATCATGTGTTCACTGTCTTCACCGACAACACCACAGCCCTGTGTTATATCAACAGGCAGGGAGGCACGATTTCCAGAGCACTGTGCCAGCTGGCCCTGGACATATGGGATGAATGTCAGTCATGGAGCATGCTCCTGAGAGCCACCCATCTTCCGGGAGCTCTGAATGTACAAGCGAGTTCTACTACCGATACTGTGCTTCAAGAGCTCGATAAAAGCATCAAAATGTCTTGTAACCTGGGAGTCACTACAGGTGCTAAATATACTAAGGGGAAGACTTGGACCAAGCAGTGGTCCCATAGATCCTCATCAAAATCCTCTCCTGAGCCACACTGGCAACGTTCCCCTGGCAGCTGTTCTCGACCTTATGGGTGAAAGCCTAAGTTTTCACCTGCTTCCCTATCCAGAGTGAAAGCTCCTAAGGTTTCTAAGCAGAATCTTTGACGTCAGCGTCTTCCAAGTGTCTCACACCTGCCTGTCTCCATTCCTGTCTGCTTGGAAACTTATAACATCGGAACATCTATCCAAGGGCTCCTTCATCCACTTCCCCCCAGCTCCGGATCTCCTACTTGCAGGGAAGGGGCAGATACTGCATCACGATGTGCAGTGTCTCAAGCTCACAGCTTGGAGGGTCCTCTTTTGACAGTTAGAGACAGGATAGAGCATGTCCTACTGAACTGTCGTCAATCGTCTACCGGGAAGTGGAAAAAAATCCTGTCCTACCTGACTTTGACAGGATTACCACCATCCCCACTGGACCTGATGGCGAGCGGTGGCACAGTGGGTATATCCCACTATCTTAACATCTGAACTGTGTATAGAGAGGGTGGGCACACCAATCTCCCTTGTGGGAGGGTGTTAGCTGACGGTCGGGACATCCTGGTCAAGGTTCGGAAAAGGCGGAAGAACTTCTCGGCTACAAAAATCCCTGCAGTGGATGTTTCCGGCCAGGTGGTGGCAGTGTGGCGATTTGACATATGGGTCCTGAAGCCTCGTCGACAAGCAGCCATTTGGAAAATGACTGAGCCAAGCCAGAAGACGTTTACACTGTGCAGTGACAATGTGTGCAATTAAATGAATATATGTTGTCTTCCCTATCACCTATGAACATTGTTAGTCCCCTGTCTGAAATGTGTAACTGTACATCGCTTTGAGCCCACTGGGGAAAGCAATTAATAAATTGAAAGTATTATTATTATCATCATCATCATCATCATCATCATCATCATCATCTTTGGTTTTTTGTTTCCTGTTTGGACTTGGGCCTTAACTGTGCTTCCTTGAAGGTGTACTTAGCTGCCATTTCGGCTAATCATCCACCTATCAATGGTCATTCTGTTTTCTTCCAGCCTCAGGCCAAAAAGTTCTTAAAAGGTCTAACCCATCTCTTTCCTCCATCACACGGCCCCAAGTTAGCCTGGGACTTACCTCTGGTGCTCACGAGACTCATGGGCAGTCCCTTTGAGCCGATGGCTACTTGTAGTCTGCAGCTTTTCTCCTGGAAGACAGCCTTTCTT